CTGCCCTTGATGTAATACATTTACATTAATAATTGAATAAATTAAACACCCTTTGCAATCCCGGGCCGGCAACATTTTGCATTTGCCCTGTACGATGTGGTCTGTAAGTGATGAAAGTGGGGGATGTTGACTTATCTGGCGCCCGCAGCTCACAGCCAAAGTGAGAGAGAGCCTCCGAGCGAGCAAGAGATAGACAGGGCGCGCATGGATCGGTACAGCGGACTGTTGTTGGATTGAGGCTGATAACTACAGCTCAGTGAGGTAAAGCAGGGGTCCCCAACCCCCGGTTAGGCAGGTGTTACTGCCGGGCCGCGAAATAGCTGTGAGTTTATCGTAATATTTGCAGAATTATAAATATATAACAAATATTTTATCAAAAGAAATTCTATTTTTTTAATTTGTATTTTATTTTATGCCAGTCATATTATTTCATCCAAAAAATAAATCAAAATTGGTTAGCATGAGGTCTCAGCCTCTCGTGCGTAGATAAATTATTGTTCTATTATTTGTTCAGGCTGTTACATACAATTAGCCACTGTTGCCACCTATATTAGGCTATATTATATTATATATTATATTAATATTTGTAAAGCGGTCCTAATTTTTTGTTTTAATTGTATCCTGGTTTTAAACTTTGTTGATATGTTTTGGATGCATATTGGTATTTCTTCAGGCTGTTAAATACAATTAGCCTCTGTTCTGCTGGTGAGTAAATATTCAAATCAGTTAAAATTGACAAGCGGTCCGCAATTTTTTTTTAATGTATCCTTGGCACAATAAAGGTTGGGAACCCCTGCTTTAAAGAACAATTTCACCACACAAATGTCCACCACAATTTCGCTCGTATAGATGATTTTTCTTGTAGACAATAGAATTCTTCCTTCCGTTAAATCAATTTCCCATAATGCGATAGTTATATCTGACCATGCCCCAGTCACTTAGAGGATACATTTCACAGGGTCTGATACCAACCATGCTCCATGGCGTTTCAATAACCGTTGGCTTTCTAATGAAGACTTTGTGGAATTTGTTTGCACACAAAAATATGTATTTCTTAGTATAAACAAACCTCCCGATGTGTCCCATCAGTGCTATGTGAGACCCTAAAGGCATCAGAGGTGAAATCATTTCTTACAGCGCCTATGACCTGAAGACAATTAGGTTAGGTTTGTGTTGTTTTTTTTTGTTGTATGACCGAGCCGACTGTTTTTGTTGTTGTAATGTATCGTATGTTATGATCTGCACGACTGCAATGTGACACTGTTAATCCCAACTGCTCTGTCATTTCTGTCATCATTCATAATAATTAAACAAATGCCTGTTGATGTAATCAAGAGCGACATCCGCAGTGCTGGTTACCAGATGGTCACCATGTTATCATGTCCAGCCGGCTGTATGTTTCCCAATGCTGATCTAACTGGTTTACAATCGTGACTACTGCAGTTATTCATTCAGGGATTGTTTGCAAGATAGAAAGAGGACTAAGAAGTTATCAGGTACATTTTAAAATCCACTTACTCCATGCCCATTGAGAGGAGAGATACACTGACCACCAGAAGATCCAAGATGTTGAAAGAGTTCCGACAGAAAGACCCTTTGTGAAGAATGGCACCATATGTTGTCATCTGAAAATAATACTTGTTATCCATATAGAAAACCAAACTGCACAAATAAGAAGTCCCTGTTGAATGAATAACACATTTCCGATAAAGAAAAAATGTGTAATATATTATGTCTTAAAAATCCCAAATCAGCAAATAATCAAGACTGCTGTGGAGGTTTACATGGTTTGCCTTCTAGAACGTTTGTTAACTTGGTTTCCCATCTCTTCCGCCTTTAAAGAAGGGAGATGACAGCACTCTGCTACTTCCTGTCAAACAAATTCACCTGCGGTGACAGCGTGCTCATCTGTTTCCACCTTATGTGTCATCATGTTAAACGTATCTGCTAGGACTCTTACTGTAGTTGGAACTGAAGAAAGGTTTTTTTAGTTCTTTGATTGATTTGTTTATTTCTCTTTGCCTGTGTGCAATTTCCCCCTCCCACTTTCATCCCCGCCGTACGTAGTTGAGATCAAAATGAAGGCCTAGCTCTTAGAGTGATGAGCAAAGGAGTGTAGACTGGGGGGTACGAAGTTGGAAAGGGGCCATTGGTCCCACCGATTGTACACCCCAGGCACATTTTGGCACTGCGCCTGGTATGATTCCATCCCGGATTTTGGAATCCAAATGTGATTATTATCATATTTTTCAGAGTTTTTCAGTTCCAGGGACCTCTAGGTTCACTATGTTTTCCACACCTCTTCAGGTTTCTTTAATTTAACACCTTTCATTATTAACAAAGTTATCTGTGGTGCTTGTTATTACCTTGAGCACAATTTCCGCTGTGAACACCGAAGTGAAGACTATATCAGCATAGGCCAACACCTGAAAATGTGACATTAGTTGCAATATGAATCTTAATAGAAAATGCATACTTAATACTGACAATATAAATTAAACTTGCATCGTAGCTTAAACATTTAAATTACAATGATGCAGGCGTGCACTTGTTACCTGGTTTCTAAAGGACATGGGGTCGATGGGATCTTCAGCAGCTAGAGACACAGACGACAGGAGGATGAAGAGGAGGATGATGTTGGTGAAAGTCGTTGCATTGATTATACGATGGCAGAGCTTGCGGAACCTGCAATGGTATAATGATATTACGTTTATGAGTATGTTGGGAGAATTTGTGAGATCCCAGACATGAAATACATTTGAAAGGTGACCATAGTAAATGGTGTACTTCTCAATGGCATAGTATCCAGGAGGGGAACGCTTGCAGCACAAAGTTGTAACCATTGGTCAAGCACAAACCTGAAGCCGCGACAACTTGTCTACAGCTTCATTCACACTGTAGAAGCCCTTAGTGTTACCTTTGTTGTCAGTAGGAAAGCTGACTACTAGAGCTAGAAAGATTATTACCGAAGCTCATTGAGATCGTGACATCTTACAAATACCTGGGTGTTCATCTGAACAATAAACT